ATATTTAATAGAAACTCGTATCTTCTTTAAATCCTATGCTTGAAAAAGTTTTATGCCAGTTTTAGGAAAGTTTCTAATCCTAGGAGCCATATACATTCTGTGTGACCTGGAAAAGGTATGATTTTCCCTATATGGAAAGAATACAGTTTGTAGAAGTTAAACCGTAAGCGCAAATGCAAAGACATCTTGCGCTCAAAATTGCTCGGGAATAAGCAGACCTTTAATAATCTAAATGTACACTCCTTTTGAGTGTAACACTAAGAGATGTGATTTCTTACGGGCGTTTCGAGCATGTTTTCTGCAAAATATGATGGAATGTGTAAGGTCACTGAAAGACACGTTGTTAGTCTCGATTGATTTTCAAGGGGAATCTAAAGATGTTGACATTAAGACACAATACAAATACTACAGGACGTTGCACCAATGAAATTTCTAGTTTTCTCAATGCAAAGTTGGTAGGGATTGCTTATAGACCCTCCCCTTCCCTCCGCCCCCTCCGACAGGAAACGAGAACAGGAATTGGCCCGTGATGCAGGTATCTTCCTATCGAATTCCTCGGATAGTAGGGCTACGGTTAAGTTTAGGGTAAAGATTAAAGGTAGAACTGTAGTTAACGCTAGGCTTACGGCTTAGTTTGCGTTAGGATATTTAACTCTCCTGGAATCTAGCGAAAGGCCATGCGACCGAAAAGTATACCACTTAATCACCTTTTACTCTAATAATGTACGGAAAATGGAGGAACCAAAACTGGAAGCAACGGAAGTTCTTTTGCAGACATTTTTCGTCGTATTGAACTTGAAATTAAGGCAAGATCCACCCTTGTTTTATCATTCACGTGAAAATCGCAGCTTTTTATCAATCCCTATATCGATTCGTTCTTCAACGTGACGGCCAGTTGACACACTCGTGACTGTAGTATTTTGTGAACGAAGGCAATCCCCATTACCTGATGTCAGCAAGAAATGCCTCTCTGACACCAAATAAAAGTCAAAAAATCACAAGTCCTGTCAAGCCGTGTTCCCTGTTGATCGGTTGCGAGGTTGTCCATTTTTTTAAAATAAACCTTTCAGGACATGAATTTAGCTTCCGAGGATCTAAACAAGACCGCTCACTTGCACATTTATCATGGTGCCCATACTTCAAAGTCTGCGAGCCACCTGGTTCCGGTGTAGGTTGAATTTCTGATACCCAAAAAGCGACCGCACAAACTGCGGCAACCTGTGTAGCCTACCGCGTCCCCTTCGCCAATTCTCATCTGTCTGGAGGTGCTAACCCATGCAGGACATTTTAGGCTGGTCCCGTCCCACAAGAGGGGAGGGGGGACCTTCTCTAAACCGCCACTGACT